TCTGGGCCTGGTCTGGGTTCCGTCTGGGTCTGGTCTGGGTTCCGTCTGGGTCTGGCCTGGGCTCTGTCTATGTCTGGTCTGGGTTCTGTCTGGGTCTGGTCTGGGCTCTTTCTGGGTCTGGCCTGGGCTCTGTCTATGTCTGGTCTGGGCTCTGTCTGGGTCTGGTCTGGGTTCTGTCTAGGCCTGGTCTGGGTCTGATCTGAGTTCCATATGGGCCTGGTCTGGGTTCTGTCTGGATTCTCTCTGGGTCTGGTCTGAGCTCTGTCTGGGTCTGGTCTGGGTTCTGTCTAAGTTCTGGTCTGCAGCTCTGGTCTGGTCTGGGTCCTGTCTGAGCTCTGGTCTGGGCTAGCATCTGGCTGTTTCAAATGTTGAAACCAGGCACCCTGCACGGGGCTGAGAGGGCTTCAGTGGCCCTGGCTCTGGTAGTCTGTACTTGTTATCCTGGGTGCTCACGATCCCAGCCAGAAAAACAGTGCAAGACAGTGCACCCTGTGAACGAGAGCCCACAAGGACAGGGAGGCGGGCACATGTCCAGGATGCCAGCAAGCGGGCTGCACAGAACTCAGGGGCGGGAAAGTAGGGCAGTGGGGGGTGGGGGTGGGATGGTCCCATCTTCCTGTTTCTGTAAGGGGAAGCAAGCACAGGGCTGTGCAGGAGAATGATTTCCTTACATAAATACAGAGGGGTGTGTGTGTGTGTGTGTGTGTGTGCGCGCGTTATGTGAGTGCACGCACCCTGGATACTCAGGAAACCCGACTACGATGGGAAGGCTCTAACTGTGCTTCCTCGTCCCCTCAGCCCGGGACTCACTTTTAGACCTGCACAAGGTCACTGTCGCACCGGGCTGTCCCATAGCAGGGCAGACTAATGTCTACTGGACTTTGTTTCCAGAGCCACTTTGAAGATCCTTAAATCCCAAATGCATGTTTTTTTTAAAAAAAAAGAAGAAAGAAAACCCGGTTTGTAATATTAGAGCAGCACAGCCCCAAACTGGGTCCTGTGTCCATGGCTGGACTCATAAGGCCCCGTGGAGGGGACCCTGTGGCCTAGTGGCGTGCTCTCTCTGTCTGGTGCATATTCTTGCAATTCCAGTTTGGTGGCTCTCAAGAGCAAGGCCAACCTGAGACCACCTGTCCTGCCTTTCCCATGAGAGGGCCGAATGCTCCCATCATCCCCACCCTGTCCTGTTTCTGGCGTCCTGGGGGTCGTCACAGCCTGTGTGGGCTTCCTCCAGCCAGGGTGGTGGTCTGGGCCCCACCAGCGGACCCCAGCACTGGGGGTCAGCCCCAGGCACTGTCAAAGGTGAGAGCCCAGAGGCTGTGCCCAGCAGGAGAGGTGGGCCCTGTGCTTGATGGAGGGAGAGAGGCTTCTCAGAGCCCAAGGCATGAAGTGCCCTCATGGGTGTCATGACCACGGTCAGTGGATGGCTGCTGGTGAGCACTATGACTGGGCGTCTTCAGGAGGCTCATAACTTTGAGAGGACACAGCCTAAGGGAGGTTCGCTGGGGAGCAGCCCCACTTCCGCCCTGAATAGACGAGAGACACTCATTAGCAGGTACCCAGCATGTAGTGCTTTCTTGGTGATATCATGTGGGTCCCCAGGGGCCTGGGTCCCCAAAGTACCCCAGCACTCTGTGGCTGGGGAGCTTGCTCCTGTGGAGGAAGGGTCTCTGTGGTCCCAGCTCTTCCATCTGCCTGTCCACCGAGGGTCACCTATGGCTCAGCAGAAGAGCTGTTCTTGGGGCCCCCGGCCCTCCTCCAGCCCTGCTCACTTCTTTAGGTCTCAAGTGCTGCGTGTTTGTAAGCACTGTCATCCACAGCCCTGTGGTACCAGCTGGTTCATCTGCAGTTCTGAGCTGCTCTCCGGCCCCAGCCCTTTCTTCCTGTGCTTTCCCCCACCGGGATGGCTCTCCTGGCCCTTCCTGGGGCGACAGCCGCCCTCTCTGTAATGATTTGCAGTGCCAGCGCAGCAAGCTTCCCGGCTGGTTCCACAGCTCTCTTACTCCCCTAAACAAGGCCTTAGGGACTCCACATCCAAATTAAGGTGGCACCTGGTGACAGGTTGGCATTTTCCGGTGTCCTATCTATGAAAGACAGGAAGACAGCAGGGAGCAAACTCCCCTGGGCCAGACTCTCACAAACACACGGGTTTGGGTGCCCAATTGGTGACTGGGAGAAAGTCTAAAACAACGGACTGGGCCAAGGACCCCATGGGTCCCTGTCTCTTCAGGTCCCTTGAAACATGTGGGAGCCAAAATTGCATTCACACGATTCTTGATTATATAAGCGTGCATTCTGATCTGATACTGCACTGAGAAGTGCCCCTGGGTTGGGATGCATTATCTATGCACCCAGCTGCTTTTGTTTTATTATTTACAGCACATTTAAACAGTCAATTTGAGAAAACATTAATGTGGCCTTGCTTGGGATGTGTAGCTTCTCCCCTTTTATAAAGCTCTCAGATGGAGACTTGGCAGAAATTCCAAAGCAATTTGGTGTGGCTGCAAAATGACAAACTTTTTAAATTATTAATTGGGGTTAATAATATATTGATTATTTAATTATGTGTTGATTATTTATAAATAAATCATATATACATAATGTATACTTATATAAATATATAAAGTATAAATAAATAATTTGTAGATGCAGTAAGTGAATTATTAATTAATACAGACACGCGTACCATATTGGTGTGGGAGCAAACTGGTAACAGGGCAGCTCCAGGCTGGGTTCGCACACATTGGCTGAGGACCTGGGCAGGTCACTGGGTCCACTGGTCATCGCTCCCTCACTCTGAGATGGGAATGGTGGATTTCTCACACACTAGACAATGAGTGGGAAGGTGCTTTGTAAGTCTAAAGCATTACACACATGCTGGTAATTATCATTATTATAACCCGTGAAATGCAATTGAAAACGTAGACCAGGGAATTAAAAAGACATGAAGTGCACGTTCTTCCCTGGAATGCAGCCTTTTCTACTCTGGGACATCAAAGGCTACTTCAGCCTCAGTCACGTGTGCTTCAACATTTGCACATTTACCGCATCGGAGATAAAACAAAATGAAATGAACATGCATATGATCTGCTTCTTGCAGGATACAAGACCCTTCTGAAAGGAATTTCTGGGAAGTTCAACAGTGGTGAGCTGGTGGCCATTATGGGTCCTTCCGGGGCAGGGAAATCCACACTGATGAACATCCTGGCCGGATACAGGTGAGCATCCCTGCCCGGGGGGCAAAGTTCTCACCTGGTGTCAGGCCAGCAATGGAAATAGTGGGGCTTTTTCCATCAGCCCCATCACCTGGAGCAGGCTGTGGTCTACAGTGGTAGCTTCTTAAAGCTCTGCACACACAGGCTCCAGCAGAGCACAGGGTGCGTTTCGGATCAGGAAGCTCTGGAATCTGTGAAGGAAACCGGGTCCAGGGGAGAGAATGACACTGAGAGGCTGCACTTGCGAAGGGCCGTGTGCTGAGTAGAGAGCCATGCTCAGAGAGGGGTCCCTGGGCAGAGTGGCCACAGCAGCCACTCTCTTCAGCCCGGCCACAGGGACAGGAAGATGTAGGAAGGTCAAGATCAGGGAGAGGGGTGGCCGCAGAGCTTGGAGAGAACAGGAGTGAATGCAAGTTGAAGAGAGACGGCATTTTCAGAAGAGAATGAGAACTGTTTGGCTGGGGCTTGTGATGGTCAGAGTTGTCTAGAAGTTTGGGCTGGGCGCGGTGGCTCACTCCTGTGATCCCAGCACTTTGGGAGGCTGAGGCAGGTGGATCATCTGAGGTCAGGAGTTTGAGACCAGCCTGGCCAATATGGTGAAACCCCGTCTCTACTAAAAATACAGAAAAAAATTAGCTGGACATGGTGGCAGGTGCCTATAATCCCAGCTACTTGGAAGGCTGAGGCAGAAGAGTCACTTGAACCCAGGAGGCAGAGACTGTGCCACTGCACTCCAGCCTGGGCGGCAAGAGTGAAACTCCATCAAAAACAAACAAACAACAATAAGAACAAGAAAAAACAAAGAAGTTTGGTGACCGTTGTGCCCAGTGTCATCCGTGTGGGAATGATTAGAAAACTTGAATTAGAATCTTTAGAAGTGTTTTTAAAATGCTCTGTTAAAGTCAGTTATTTTCATGTCTAATGGGTTTTATTTACTAACTTTGGCAAACAATAATTTCATTTACTGAAAAAATGGTAAATACCACCCTTTTCCTTAGAGTTTCTGAATTCGACCTTAATGCCAGAAAAAATCTCACTTATGGCAATTCTCTACCTGTGAGAGTCACACCTAAAGGTTAAAGTTGAGTTCTCAGAGGGATGCAGGGCCAGAGGGGACTGGGTATCCTTGCAGGACAGCTGTTTCTGAGCTCATCAATGCGCCCACAGCTTCTGGCAGCCTGATGGGGGCTTGGCATCCCGGAGCTGCGGAGGCAACTCAGGAGGGGGCCTTCAGGCCTGGGGATCCAGGGGAAGCCAGCTGACCCCCGCCTGTGCCTGGAGGAGTGAAGGGACATGGCCGCAGGCCCACAGTCATAGTAACAAGCTGAGTGAAGCTGGAAACCAGGCATGCTTTCATTAGTCTCCGTAGAGTCTCCTCAGTTTGATTCTCCGTCGCATCTAGGAGGTAGGGCTAGAAAAACTGGATCTTAGAGGCATAGAGCATAGACTACCTGTGTCACACACCAGCTCCTGGGCCGCACTAATGTACACGGAGGAATGGCAGGGGGCAGAGGTGCACAGTAGGTCTGCAGTGAGCAGATGAACCAGCCAGTGAATGACTGTGCCTGGTGAGGCCGTGCCTGCCTCACAGGAGCACCTGGGGTGCTCTCAGCCTGCTCACCAGAGAGATTTCTCCCTTCGGGAGAAGGGCCATTCGCTCGGCTAAGCGGGTCCCGGCCTCGGGCTCCAAGCCCCTGTCTGCTGGTGCTCCTTCCCAGGCCTGACGTCTGCAGAAGTCTGGCCTTCGGGCAGTGGGCGCAGCCTGAGCTACACACGGAATTGTTGAGAAGCCAATCTTACAAACCCCCACAAATCCAGGGGCTGTACATCCCCACCTTGCGGCTGTGTATAGCACTATGCCTGCCTGCGTGTCTTTGGTAGGTCAAGACAGAGCTGCTGTCACCCTGAGTATAGATACACCCACGGAGGCCTGTGTGTGCCTTCCTCTTCCCCCTAGGCACTTTCTTTGTGGAATTTCTTCCTCCTGATGGCCGCAGTGCTAGCGAGGCCAGTCCCTTTCTGCCCCTCAGGGTCCCTGTGGCCCGTGGTTCAGCTGGGAAGATGCTGGGAGGTGAGCCCTGCTCTCTGGCTCCCCTCTCCTGGCCCTGGGAGGCATGGGAGCAGCAGGAGCTGGCTGATGGCTTCCCCTGTCCTTGGCTCTGCAGGGAAACGGGCATGAAGGGAGCCGTCCTCATCAACGGGCTGCCCCGGGACCTGCGCTGCTTCCGGAAGGTGTCCTGCTACATCATGCAAGACGACATGCTGCTACCACACCTCACCGTGCAGGAGGCCATGATGGTGAGCTCCCATGCCGCCCTGCCTGCCCCTGCCACCCCGCTGCCCCCCAGCCCCCACATCACACAGCACTGGCCACGTGCCCAGCTGCGAGAGACCCGAGGGCTCTGCCAGGCAGCCTGCACGCAGTCAGCACCCTCCCTCTAGCACAGCTCTAACTCCAGGCTTGCTGTTGGGACAGGCAGCTTCATCCCCAAACCCCCAAGACCTTGAGTTTAATGGGCCTTGTTTGGCAGGGTTGGGGGTCAAGTTTCTGAGAAGGTTAGTAACTAACCCAGCTGACTTGGGTGGTCCGACCCAGGGCAGCCAACATCCCATTTCCCCTGCAGGCCAATGCTTGGGATTCTCCTTCCCATCAGCCATCCTTGAGTCATTCTGTGTCTTTGGCCCAAGCACCCACTCACCTGGTGTCTTAGTCAGGACCCCAAGGGTCTATTCCTCTGAATCAGCTGCCTACCAGGTGGGAAAATGAAACCAGCAATGGCCGAGCGTCTCCTGGGTCCCTGGCCCCAAGCACATAGCTCTACACACACCAGAGAGGTCATCCCAAGGAAGTGGGTGAGAAATGGAGCTTCCCCCAGTTACGCAAGGAGCCCAGGGTCACATGGCTGCTGACGGCCACGTGTGGCCAGAGCTGTCCATCTCCAAAGGTGCACCTGTAACTGGTAGCTCGACCTCCCTGCTGTGCACCTGCTTCACCCTCACAGCCTCAGTGTCCTCATCACACAGGGTTGGTGTAAATACTGAAAGGGAAGATACAGGGAAGGTGGGGTAGAATTCTGGCATATAGTTGGTGCCTAATCCATTCAACGTGGTGACTGTTTCTTTTCACTGCTAGTAAGCCTTCCCATTGTGTCTTCACTTGCGTTCTCTGTGGATAAGTCCAGCATTTGGGGAAGTTTAAAAATACCTTCTCCTCTTGGAGACACAGAAGTGTCCAGGAGGTGTCCTATGCCTGGGTTTCTGAAACAGCTGGTTGCGTTCCTTGGGCAGACCATGACCCAGCCAAGTGCCATGCCTGTGGGCTTCCAGGGCCTTTTTTTTTTTTTTAAGACAAAGTCTTACTCTGTCACCCAGGTTGGAATGCAGTGGCACGATCTTGGCTCACTGCTACCTCTGCCTCCTAGGTTCAAGCAATTCTTCTGCCTCAGCCTCCCAAGTAGCTGGGACTACAGGCGCCTGCCTTCATGCCCAGCTAATTTTTGTATTTTTAGTAGAGACGAGTTTCATTGTGTTGACCAGGCTGGTCTCGAACTCCTGATCTTGTGATCTGCCTGCCTCGACTTCCCAAAGTGCTGAGATTACAGGTGTGAGCCACTGTGCCCAGCGGGGGCCGTTTTTTGTTTGTTTTTTTAAAGGCTCAACTCATGGTGACCGAGACTGCACAGACCTAACTGTGGGCAGAGGTGGCCATGAGAATCCTCCCATCAAGAGGAGATTGAAAATCAGCGTGCAGCTCCTGTTGCCAGTCATGGCTGGCTTTGTGTGGGGGACTATATACTCTTCTGCTTCCTCTTTATTCTCTGCAAAAAAAGAGTCTCCAGGCTTCGTGTCCCTCCTGGCACTCGAGGGAACATCCTCAGTTCGGTCTGCTCTGTGCTTTGGTCAGTAGATGGGGGTTCACCTTGGTTTTCTGCTTGGAGAGACCCTACTTGGCCTTCCTGACTGGGGTTGGGCAAAGCTCCCTCCCCGTGGCGACCGAGAGTGGAGCTGCCTAGCGTGTCACGTGAAGGGCAATGCCAAGGGGTTCTTAGCTCAGCAAAGAGGTTCTTAGCACAGCAAAGAAAAGCAGGTTACATGTACAGACACGTGATCTGCTATCTCACCTTCTTTGTGGGGAAACAGAAAGAGAGGAACCTGCAAGGCTGTTCCGACTTCTGTTCCCTGGTCCTGCGTGTTCTGTGGGTAAGCGGATGCCATTCCCCTGGGCTGAGCCTCCCTAGGTGCTGTGTGCCCCGTGGAACTCTGACTGTTGATCTGGCCTCCAAATGGACATTCAGATGGGGCACAGAGGACCTCTGAGGAGTTGGCAAACATACCCTGCAAAGTAGCCGTGAAGTTTTTCTTTACCCTGCTGTTCACTGTTCCGTGTGTGCTGTAAATGCAAGCTTCATGCACACCCTGTTGATTCCTGAATTGCTCCTGCCTCTTGGGTGGTGTGAGTTTGGCTTCTCAGTGAGTTCTTGAGTGAACCCCATGGCCATGTGCTCGAGACCCAATGGCTGCTTTCTCCGCAGATGTGACTAGTGACCCCTGCTGTCTTCTCTGTCCTCTCCAACCTCGCCACCGGACCTGCTGTGAAATAATCTATTTTCAGAATCAAATTCAGTTCGATTTTGATTCTGAGAATTTCATGAGGCCTTCGAGAAATAGTCTGCGGCTATGGTATGGGTTATCACTCAAGGTCCTGTCCCACACGGAGGAGATACTGGCCACCTGTTGGGGAGTTCCGATACCACATCAGACACAGTTGTGCATTTTTACGCTCTTCACCCTCGCAGCTGCCAGGCAGACTGATGAATGATAGGCAGTGTCACACGCAGGCAGCTGGCTCTGCCCAGGAGTGTGGGTCTGACTCTGTCCAACTCTGGGGCCTAGGACCTCTTTGCCACGCCCCCCTGCACCCCACCCTCTCCTCTGGTCCTCACAGCAACTTCTCTAGCTAATGAGGTAGACAGAGCTTAACTTCACCATTATGCCGGTGAGGAGACGGAGGCTGCGTGTTTGCCCAAAGCCACAGAAGGCAGGAGGGTGGAAGCCAGGCCGACCCTGGGCATGGTGATCTCTGCTCTGGGTTTTCCCAGGCAGGGCCAGGAGCCAGCACTGTGCTAGCAAACAGGATCTCAAAAAACACAACAACAAAATGTGGCATCCCAGTATGTCACCCTTGTAAATTCCTGTCACGTAAAGACTCTCTGTGGATAAGTTCAAGCCTCAGCAGTTTAACATATGGTTTATGGAACTCCTAACTCATACTACTGGTTCTGCCCAGGCGTATCGCCAAGCCCCTACCTCTAAATTGTCCATATCTGACTTCTCCCCTGGGTACAGCAGAGAATTCCACTGAGATAGCTGGAAGCATTGCCCATGGACTGCTCTCCTGCCACCTTGCCACTATTAAAGCAGGGGAGATGGGAAGCCAAGAACTCCTTGGGTTTTCCATGGTGATCAGCGGGCTGCACTGCGGCTAGCTGCACTGTAGCTGGCTGCATCGTGGCTAGTGGCGTCATGGCCAGCGGCACTGTGGCCAGTGGCACTGTGGCCAGTGGCACTGTGTCCAGCTGTACCATGGCCAGTGGCACCATGTCTAGCTGCACTGTGGCTAGTGGCACCGTGTCAAGCTGCACTGTGGCTAGTGGCATTGTGGCTAGTGGGCTAGCAGCATTGTGTCCAGCTGCACCATGGCTAGTGGCACAGTGTCTAGCTGTACCATGGGTAGTGGCATCATGGCTACCAGCACTGTGGCTAGCTGCACCGTGGCCAGTGGCACTGTGGCTAGCTGCACCACAGTCTGCAGTGCGGGCATGAAGCTCACCCTGCTGATGGCCGTCTGTTCTGCTTCTACACTGCTGTCCTTGTCCCCCGCAGGTGTCGGCGCATCTGAAGCTTCAGGAGAAGGATGAAGGCAGAAGGGAGATGGTAAGTGGGTTGTTTGGGGCCTGCAAGAGGTCCAGAAAGTACATGGGGCACATGTGGAAAGTGTGCCTACCGGGGTTTTTGGCACTGGCTTTTATTTGTGGATTTGTTTTTGCCTTGCCTTCCGTGTGTGGGACAGGTGACATTTCAGGGAGCGCTGTGGCCTGCAGCAGCCAGAGGCCAGGAGAGGTGGATCTGGCGCATAGTCATGGCTTTGATTCTGAGATGCAGGAGTCAGAATGTAACGTGAGGGACGGCAGCCTTGGCACTCATGGGGCCAAAAGATGCCAGCTTCAGGGTTAGACCACGAGTGCTGCACCTTTTAGTGTTTAATATGATCTGTATTCAGTATTTTATAAGACAATAACAATGAAGATGGTTAGTCATTCATTTAAAAATAACCACCTTCCACCCACCCGCACTTGCAAGAAGAAATTTAGTTCTTACGTGTTATTAACCAGCCTTTTAAAAAAGAAAATAAAGACGTTTCCAGGATGATGAAGACTTTCTAATCCCTGTAGCCATTTTTTTTTGGCTTCATAAATTCAGGGGCAGGGACGGGGGCAGGTGGGCAGAGCCAGGGGGAGCAGCAGAAAGCCACACAGGAAGGAGCCCACCAGCCTGGGCTCACACACCCTCCCTGGGAAGCCCACTGTCCTCTCCACTCTGGCTAGTGCTGGTGGGATTTTCAGCATGAGATGGAATTTGGGGAACCTCCCCTTCTATGAGATTCTCTTTCTCTCCTAACACCCTTACCTGTCCGTAGTCCGGCCACTGAGAGTGAGGTTTGCCGGGTTAGTGCCAATGGCTCGCCTTGGCCCTTTGTGTTCTGGTTTAAATGGAGTGATTGACGGGATAGAGTCAAACGTGCTGAGAAACATCCACAGCAATTCTGTTTTCATCATTTGCCCCTCTGCTGTGGTGTGTGACAGCTAATATTAAGTAAACGTAAACCACTTTGCTATGGAGAAGAGAGTCCGACAACCTTAATGCTCCTTCTCCCCGCCTCTGCCCGGCAACTGCACCCTTCGAAACTCAGGACTCAGCCCATGTCATCGGGGTCGGGGGGTCAAATGCCCAGTGCAGGTAGAAAGAGCCCAATGTCTGAGAGAAGTAAAATAACGCTTCATTGCTACAGAAAATGTTTTGTGTGGAATTCTTGTATTCTGAGATTGAAAAGAAAATGGATTAACGAAACCCAAAAGAGAGAAAATGTGGAAATCACGTGTTTCTGGCCCTTCATGAGGACAGAAGACCCAGCCTTGTGACTTTATTGTCTAGGTTGAAGGACAAGAACACTCTCTGGACAGGGTTTTCTAAACAATGTAACGTAGACATCCCCCCCATACACACACACACACACACACACACACACACACACACACACATACACACACACACACAAACACACACGCACATCACCTCCCAAGCCCGAGAGTGTTGGTGATACCAAGTTATGGAAGATGAGTGTTATGGCCTGAGTCCCCCCAAAAAGATGGTATGTTCAAGCCTGTGCCCTGAAACCCAGAATTGGCTGTATTTGAAGATAGGGTCTTTATAGAGGTAACGAAGTTAAAATGGAGTCATATGGGTGGGCCCCAGTCCAGTCTGACTGTGTCCCTGTAAGAAGAGGAGAAGAGGACCCAGACACACCCCGAGGGATGATCCCATGAGGACACAGGAGGAGACGGCATCTGCCAGCCCAGGAGAGGGACCTCAGGAGCCAGCCCTGCTGCCCTCCATCCCAGACTTTGGCCTCCAGAATTGAGATAGGAATTTCTGTTGTGGAAGCACCTGGTGTGGGGTGCTAAATAACAGCCTTTGTTCTCCATACCAAAGGCATGCAGAAGAACACACAGAAAGCCAGCTGTCAGAGCTGAGTCTCGGCGAAGTCTCCCATGGGAGATGCACACAAATCAACAGAATGGGGGTCCCGGGCTTGAGCCAGGGTGACCTCCACTCTCCCTGTCTGAGGTCAGCCTTGCCACCTCCCACCCCTGAGTCCTCCTTGCCTTCAGCTGCAGGACAAGAAGAGAAGCTGGCAAGAGTACGCAGGGCCCCGACGAAGCAGAGGCTTTTCCACCCGGAGACTCAAGAAGCTGCTCCTTCTGAAGCCCGGAGGACCGCAGTGCCCCTGGGACAACCTCTCAGGGCCCTCCTTCCCATCCCTCAACCTCCCTGCTTTCAAGGGGTGTCGGAAGCACAGTCCAATCTCTTTGCCCTCCTTCAGGGTCCCAAAGACCCCTCCAGATGCTGGCCTGCAAGCTGAGGGGCAGCTGTGGGGCTCCAAGGAGAGACGGTGGAATCGGCCACTGATGGTTGGTGTGGAGGAGGGACCGAGAGCTCTGCAGCGTGAGGCACTGGAGAGAGGGAATTCTGTCTCTCTGATCCAAACCAAAGGCCTGAGGACAGAGCAGACGGGGGAGAGGGTCTCGGGGATCACCGGATTTGCGGGGAGCAGGCGTGGGAGGCGGAGGGCGGAAAGCACTGCTAACAAGGAGAGGTCCTAGAGTGAAGTGGAGTTGAGCACACAGGGGACCCCTCCTGGAACCCACTGATGGCCTTGGGCTACAGCCTGCCACGTACAAGCTGAGCTTCGCCTATAACGTGGGGACAGGGAGCCAGGCCCCACTTGCCTTTCTGGGCAGTGCCAACCTGAACTGTATGGCTTCTTTAAGGCCTCTGAGCTCAATGGAGCCCATGTGATCCCTATGGGAGGGACTGTGGGATTGCTTCCCTGCAGCTCGAGGTGACAGCCACCAGCATTTTCTGGCATAGCTCAGGAAAGACTCTCCCCGAGGACTGGGTGCACAGGGAGTGCTCCTCAGCAGGGTCTGTGCTGAGGCCACAGAAAGCCAGGACCTTCGCCTGCCGGAGCGAGAAGACCCAGAACAAGCCGGCATCTCGGCAGAGAATGGAAGCGCCTCCCGGGAGCAGCCACATGGGGCCCGAGGGCAGATGGCACCCATGGGTGTGTGTCCTTGTGGCACATGGGCCCTGCCTAAGACACAGCCCAGAAGACAGCCTCCAGCTGCTATCAACTGGGTTTACCAGGGCAAAAATATCGGCTCATGTGGCTGAATCACCCCTGAGTGAGCCCCTGGCACTGTCCCAATTCCTCTGAGGCTGGACTGAACAGTGCAGAGAGCCCTCCACACAGGACGGAGAGGTCACACTGCATCCACCGCATGCTCTCACTAGCAGACGCAGCTGGACCCGCACTCCTGTTCCTCAGCCATGGCGCAGGTGCGCATCTCCCCGACGGGCCACCGTCAGGAGGATACGGCAGCCATGTCACGGCTTCACTCACTTCCCTCTAACCCCCAAGGTGCACATGGGTCCAAGTTCTCTCTGTCTCATGGAAATACAATGGGATGGAACGTCCTAGCAGACGGTGGAATGAGTTGTGCACGGCCTTTCATGATTCCCAGCAAAGCAGCCTCAGTTCCCCAGAGCCCTCTAGCAAGCCACTTCCTCAGGAGTGAGGCCCCCAGGGGCAGCATGGCCTGCTGAGACCTTCCCTGGAGCACCCGCTGGGATGCCCCAGGGGGCTGGAGCTACACTGGGCTTGCAAGTTTCTTGTTTGTTTAGGAAAAATGTATAAACAACCGAGATCATTGTTTGTTCTTTCTGACTAGTCTTTAAAATAGACCCACCTGGGTGGCGTCCCTCCTGAGAGGACTCTGGAGAAAGTGGGGTGGGCCCAGCTCATGGGCAAGGGTGCGGAGGGAAAGACACCCACAGCGGCCTCCGCTTCCAACATCCCCTCTGTGAAAGTGGAGGGAGAGAAGAAGATGTGTCATATGTGTGGAGCCCCCACAGTTAGCCTGGAAGCCCCAGCTTTGGCCAGTGGTTCCAGAAGACCCAGTGGCCTCATCCTGGGACACTAGCAGAAGAGAGCCCTGCCCACCTTGCAAACCCCCACCCGACAGCCTTTCCAGCCAGCCTCCTAGAAGCTGTTTCTGGTTTGGTGGCCCTCAGAGCCAGGTGTCCAGTGGAGGCACCAGAGCTGGGACAAGGGCATCAGCAAGGAGCTCAGGACAGGGCTGGAGCCCAGGTCAGCTGACCCTGCACTGCCACCTGCCCAAGCCTGTCCAGCGGCCGTGCCCCGGTTCTTGTTGTCACCAAAGCTGCACTTTGTACTGACCGTGCATAAATAATTCAAAAGCCCAGAGTGGAAATTTTCTTCCTCGTGTATTCCTCCTCCCTTCGGATGACTTCATCTCGCTAGAGGAGCTGCTGGACTAGGGTCCGCTGGCTTTGGCCGAGAGGGCTGCCCCACCGGGGTGGGGACGACAGCTGGGTGAATGCTGGAGAGAGGCCCAGGACTGCTGCCCCAGGGTAGGGAGGTAAGGATGGCAGTGGCTGACCCAGGCCTGCTTCTGAGAACACGCTGGGCTGAAAGCAGCACCAAGCCGACACAGAAATCTGCTGACCTCTGTGTTCCCGGAGTCAATACAGGATCAATATTCCAGAGCACATGGGGGGCTCCGTGCACAGTGCCCTGCTTGGATCTTGGCATGCAGCCTGCTTCCTGGAGCCTGGGCCGAGGTGTAGCTGCCGTGGGTCATAACTGCTTTGAGGGGCACTGCAAATCTGTTTCATTGCCTTCTTGGCACCTTGGAGACCTTGCTTTCAAGTCAAACCTATTTATAAGAACAAAAGTGACGCTGTCCCCCTTCCTGAGAACGCTGGCACTTGTGACTGTGTCCCTACCCTTAACACCCACCTCAGCAATGACAAGAGCTCTGAGAAGAACCTTCGAGGGTTCCATGCTGCTCCGCGCTCTCTGCATTCACTCTTTCAAGTAACAGTCAGTGACCCTCCCTTCGATCTGGGCAGAAACCACCAGAAATCGTGCATCCTCTCATGTGTCCATTCATCCATCAGTTCATCAACTGTTTACTGAATACCTTCTCTGTACAGGGCACTGGGCTAGGCTTAGCAGTGAGGAATGTGCCCTGGGCACCTGCCAGAGGCCTATGGCTGATGAGGACACAGGCCCTCGGGTCTGACCCCAGCACTGTTGCACAGCCTCTGGGCAGCCTCTGTCCCTCATCAGGACTGCTGACGTGGAAATGGCACCTGCCCCAACTGGCACCAGGCAGCCTGGGGAGGGCTTGACTTGGGCAACCTCCATGTGGACCAGGCACAGTGTGTCCAGCAGGCTGAGGGCGGCCAGCAGGTCTCCCGCGTGGGCCGTGGGAGGTGGTGAGCTTTGGCTGGCAGCTCAAATAATCCAATGTCTTTGGTTCTGCCACCTCCAGGTCAAGGAGATACTGACAGCACTGGGCCTGCTGTCTTGCGCCAACACACGAACGGGGAGCCTGTCAGGTGGCCAGCGAAAGCGCCTGGCCATCGCCCTGGAGCTGGTGAACAACCCTCCAGTCATGTTCTTCGATGAGCCCACCAGGTAAGTCAGGAGCGTCTGGGCTGGTGTCCAGGAGCAGGAAGAAGCCCCTTTGTTCAGGTGACCCTAACATCCTGATGCAGCCTCAGAGGGGTGAGGTGAGCTCTGCTCGCCCAGTGGCTCCTCCTTCCATCTGGGACCGCTGGGCAGAGGGGCTGACTTATACCCCCTCCCGCCTCTACTCAGAGACGTCCCTGCACTCAGGCTGGCAACGCCATGTGTTGAGCCTGGAGATATGGTTTGGGGGGAAACCATACCCCTTTCTTGATGCTTGTCTCTTCCATGATGCCAAGTTCCCCATGGCTCAGTCACTCCAAAGGCCAGGGTCATGCAACACCCTGGGAAAAGGTCTGTCTTCAGGTGTGTTCTGGAAACGCCTCGAACTTTAGCACATCAGAGGCTCAGAGATGCCCGCAGGACAAAACCCTCCCTCGGGTGCTCACCAGGCCTCTATAGCTACGGGCACCCTGATGCCTTTCCTGGGTGATGCCCTTTACTTTTGGGGCTCCCCTGGGGAGTTGCTGCCTGGAGTCCTGGCTCTGGTGCCCCTGGCCACGGGTCAAGCTCACCTGACTCCTGCGCGTGTCCTATTCAATTGTCCCTGGCAGGATGGGCTGCTGGGAACCAGGCTGCTCCTGAAATGACTTCAGCCAGACTTTGTGTGGTCTCACTTCTGCCACACACTCACCTCTCCAAAGTCCGGCTAGATGTGACAGCAATGTGACAGCAGCCTTCTGCGGGGAGGGGCTCACGTGTTTGTTTCTCTTGGGCCTGCACAGTACCAGTCTATAAGATAGTTCAGGAAAAAAGAGACCACAATGAACCCTTAAGTAGCATCTTGCAGGCTGAATGTGTGGGCGCCGGGGGACTTCCCAGCACATACTTGTCCCCCCGACCTGTCACTTCAGAGTTGAGGGGCTGGGAACAGGAATAGGTCTGAGGGGCCAGGCAGGGAGAAGAGACAAGAGAGGTCCCCAGGATGCTGCCGGACAGTGAAACAGCCGCCAGAATAGAGCCCACCTGAGCTGCACCAAGGCCCCTTCTGTGGGGTGACACCCCATCACCAGCCCCCTAGAGGGGAGATGAGGAGTGGGGTGGTGACTGCAGAGCACTGGACCCCCGGAGGCCCAGCTGCCTGCCTCGACACTGGTGAAGTCCCCTCCTGCCCAGATGAGTGGGGACCCCCACCTCTGTCCTGGACTCTGGCAGCAAGGCTCGCTGGGGCTCCTCTGCTCTTGCCAGGAATAAAATGCAGCATGAAAAGCCCCACTGTGTGCTCCCCACTGAGCGGCCAAACAAACAGGAAAAGCAGAGTCCAGCCTGGGAGAGGGCAGCTGCAGCTGCAGGCCCCTGATGCCAAGCCCTCTTGGATAGGGACTCCCTGGGCCCCTGGGACCTGGCCAGTGGCTTGTCCCTGCCGCCCACAGGCGTCTCACAGTGCCCCCTTGACTTGCAGCGGCCTGGACAGCGCCTCCTGCTTCCAGGTGGTCTCACTGATGAAGGGGCTGGCTCAGGGGGGGCGCTCCATCATCTGCACCATCCACCAGCCCAGCGCCAAGCTCTTCGAGCTGTTTGACCAGGTATGTGGGCCCCGGGCCTCTCTGCCAGATCACCACTGCACTCACATCGGCCCGGTGACACCGAACCCTGGGCACCGACGGCCTTCTGTTACCTCGTAGGGTGTCTTCATTTTTGAGAGTGTTTAGGTGCTAGGTTTTGTGAGACTTCTGGGCCCACAGGCAGTGAAGGGGGCTGGGGAGCTGAAGTGGCTGAGCAGAGTCCTCTCTTGGTCCTGGTGGTGGGTCGTGGGATCCTGGGTGTCATCAGCATTGCAGAACTTCATCACCTCCCCTGTTAAAATGGGGGCGGGGTGACAGTTGTTTTCCAGAATGAATGACAGGTTACAGCATTTGCACAATATCATGTGGTTTATCAGTCTTAGGGTTTGGCCAGGCACAGTGGCTCTCCCCTGTAATCCCAGCCCTTTGGGAGGTCAAGGTGGGCAGATCACTTGAGCTTGGGAGCTGAAGAACACCCTGAGAAAATGGCGAAACCCTGTCTCTACAAAAGAAAAAAAAAAGTGAAAAAATTACTGAGGTGTGGACACTCCTATAGTCCCAGCTACTTGGGAGGCTGAGGTGGGAGGATCACCTGAGCCGGGGAGGTGGAAGTTGCACTGAGCCAAGATCGCGCCACTACACCCCAGCCTGGGCAACAG